TAGCAACGCCAGCTTTGAGGCTAAAATTATTTTGCACGCGTTTTTGATGAAATATCGTGCCGAAGTTTTTCTCAAAGAGAAGCGAAGGACCGATGTAGTCAGTTTTTTCGCAAATGCTTGGGTTTTTGAAAGAGAACAAGATACGTTCCTACCCGTTCGTACGTTCTTTCAACAGCCAAAGTTCTCTTAACCTCAGGGCACTCTGTGAACACTTTTCTTAATAAATAGATCAATCGTTGGCAAATGACAGATGCCATTCAATGTTTCCGTCGGACATGATCTGATGGCCACAGTAATCGCAATGGAGACTGAGCTTTTTACTCTTTTTAGTTTCAAAGGAGAATGCATCGAAAGCCTAACCCCGTCAGTGTGCCACTGTTTGTCTTGGTTGGTGTTAACTTGCCCACCTTTGTTGTCTTGTACCACTAAGAAGTTCATTTCTAAGTCTAGTACTGTCTGGATGCAGCACTTTAATGCTGTCTCTTTGATATTAGTTGAGAGGTTCGCCCTCTATATGCCGTAACTTTTCAAGAAAACGGGCTTCCCTTCATGAACTTTCCTTTAACCACTTGGGCAGCCATATGGTAGACATTTTTTCAGGCTTCTTCGCTCTTTAGCATTGACGAAATCAGATTATCTGGTGCTACGCACAAACCAAGCTTACAGTTAAATGCGGNATGCTCTGCGTCTTCGATAACTGCTGGTCCGCATTGCTCGCAGTAAGCATTTGGTGCAAGTCTAAAGCGGTGCAAGTATGCTTTAAAACGGCCATGTCCATTGATGTTTTGGGTCAGGTAGTAATCTAGATCTCCATGCTCAGCTTTCTACTCTGCCTAACATTGTATGTATATAAGTAGTTCATATCTATGGCTTTCCAGCAAACCCGCAAACCGTATGCAATAATTGAGCGAATCGCCGCCTAGAGCATGCATGTCATAAGATCAGGCCGTAGGTCCCACTTCTTACCCAGCATTTACTTGCAGGAATACAGAGTACCTTTTTTAAGTGATGCTCTATGTTTATTTTTCAGTTTAATTTCGGTGCGAGAATGCCTCCTAAATACTTTACGCTAGGAGAAAGAGAAAGACTATGCCCATTTAGGGAAGGTAGGTTAAAATTAGGAATATTTTCCTTGTGGTAAATATTAGTAATTCGGTCTTCTCAATCCCCAGATTTCTGAGTGACTGCTCTAATGCCATTGGGTAACGTGGTTGAACGCTCCTTCTATGTCCAGGAAGGCCACCGACGTATACTATTTATTCCGTAGATTTCGTAGAGCGCCCTTTTTGTTAAGCATGCTGTGTAATAGATAGTTGTCCGTTGCCTAATTATGAATGAATGTGCATGACAAGTAGCCGCTCGAGAGTTTTCAGTACAAAAGACGAAGGACTAATGGGTCTGAAGTCCTTAGGCACCTTACAAACTTTGCGAATGAAAACTACTTTAACACTTTGTCAAGTAGATGGAACATAGTTGAGTATTATTCATGTTTTGAATATGCTCTCCAGCCATGGAAAGATCCAGAGGAAAATTGTTAATTGCCCATGCGGGAGAATATTCCCGCGTGATAATTTCGTTAACGACATTTATGGATGGTGCCGCTACGTTTCTATCTACAGTTGAGATCTCATTAAGGTTACAGTTCTAATGTTTCCTTGGAACTATTGGTTTACCCTTCATCTTTCTATTTCATGAAGGAGCAATTCCTTGGATAGGATCCTACCCATCCTGGCGGATGCTTTCGTTGATTCTATAGAAGAGCAGAAATATGTCCAGGATTACCAAGCTATATTTATAAGGCTGACAGTTGCCCGTGGAATGGCTTAAGTTTAAAGCTTCACGAGACTCTTTCCTGAGATTTGAGTTTTTCGTACTCCACCATGGAGAGTATTGCTTTCAGAAGGAACTTACGGGCAGGAGTCTTTAAAGCCGATCCAATAGCCTCCAAGGTCATTAAATCACTAGAGTTATGTTTCGCAAGGTTGTTGCTGACCACACTAGGTTACAAAAAGGAAGGGAAAGATTCGGGCAAACATAAAGAAAAAGATTGCCGATCAGATACCCTCCAGTTATCTAAATATCTTAATACTGCCTCTACGGTTTCAATCGCTAGTTAGTCTTGTATCAAGCACTACTTCCCACCCACTAAGGGTATCAGTACTAGGAAAATTAAACGTAGGAGTGCTATCCCGATTAGAAACTATTAGGTCAGTGTTAAGAGTGTCATCGAAAAGAGACTCACCGCGAGTGTTTATTTCCGAGCTGCCCCAGATTGAATGCCTGGAGTTGCAATGGCATCGGATAAGTAGACTGTTCTATTTAAATTTCTCCACTAGGCTACGAACTGCATCCGGCGTTGCGTCCTCATTGCGTGGCATTTAGCACGAAGCGATAACCATGCTGGTATTCCCTGGCGCTTCGAGCCTCGCAGCTGTCAAATCCGACGCGCTACGGGAAGGAATGAGAAAAGTATTGTATTGAGGTTTAACCACAACACAAGATCTAGGCTTACCGTCTGACTTCTGGTAGAAGACGTCTTCAAAATATTAAAATTTAAAGAATATATTAACAGTGTTGCCATCTTTTATTTTCAAAAAGCACCAAAAACTTGGAAAAAGGCGTTTTACCACACTAAAAGCACCAAATTTTTAACAAGACCTTCATAATACGAAGATGAATAAATGGTACCAAAAAAATCGATCACAAAAAGTCTATATAATGAGCAAATAATATGATGTTTTCATTATATACACCCCTATGCTGTAATCCGTCGGAGATTCGATTTTGCTACAAATTCGTAAAATTGGTATGCTGTAATCCGCGTTGTCGTATCGTAATTTCGAAATTCGTAATCGAAATTGTAAGGCGAAAGGCCGCACGTTGGTCGAGTCTTTGTAAAAGGAGCTAAGAGGATGTGCTGAAATTTTGGGAAAGCGTTCCAAGAATTAAAGCAGGTCAATATCTAGTTAAATAGAGTCCCTTAAAAGGAGGAAGCTTACATTTTATCATTTAAGCTAACAGAACAATCTCCTATCAATCTGCTTTGTATATTAATGCAACTGTTAGGTGTTCTTCCTCCTGGGACAAAAGTGCACAGGCCACTGAATCCTTTGTATCTTACTCAATTAAGGAAAAGTATTTTCAAATAATGATCAAACTGTTTTTTTTTTTTTCAATTTCACTATTCACTTGCGATTATATTTATTTTGATTTGTTTCTGCCAAAGCAGCTGATTAAGAACTTCGAATTTCACGTTTTTAGCTGGCAGCGCCGCTGATATTTACGATCGGATTACAGCATATGAATTTTCGAATTAACTCAGGTGGTAAAAAAATAACAAGATTTGTACAATTAATTAACTTACTTGCGTACTAGCATTTTCAACGCGAATAGAATTTAACAAGGTGGGTTTGCAACTTCAGCTTTTTATCAGTCATGGTTGTATTTTAGTCCATTTAAATTTGTTGGATCTTGTAAATTCAGTGCTGCCACAGCCTTAAATATTTCAAATTATTTTAGGTTTTAACTATCTCCAAGTAATTTTAGTTCAGAAAAAAAGCACTAAAAAAGGCACTAGGCACTAAATAATTTTTTTTTGGCGTTTTAATTCTCAAAAACCACTAAATCTAGTGCTTAAAGCACCAAGTTGGCAACTATGATATTTAAACCTAAATTCAGAGTATTTTTTCCTACGACGAGAAAATTCGGGAAGGAAAAAGTTAAGTCTGTCTATTATTTGCGAAGTTGCGTCAGTTGTTCATCCCAATTGAATATAGCGCTCTTTCTTTTATTGAATGCCGAGTGGAACATGTCTAAGCCAGTGTCATCGTTAAATTTAAATTGACTAACTGTGTTCATGTCGTTAAGAACCTTATACAGTTCTCCTTTTCATCTTCTTTGGTAGCCGTACGTCCACACGAATAGGGCCATCATACATCTAGTTTTGTCGAAAGCCCCATGTGAATTTACTAGGCGTTCATAAATAAATATGTACCTACTCATAAAAGAGCAAAATAGCTAAAGAAAAAAAATTAAAGTCGCTAAAAGCTGGAAAATCAAACAACACTTATAGTTTAACTTAGAAGCATAGGCTTCGTATGAGTGCTTATTTTGATAAATTTGTGATTGTAAACAGTTTAATTAAAATCTCTCGGCATGTTTTTCATCACTATTTAAACTAAGTATTATTTACTTTGAACAAAGTTGCCTTTTTGGTGCGATTCAAATCCAGATTCCATTCATTGTCAGCTCTTATTAATGTATTACGCTCTTTGGTAAATGATTTGTGAACTTATAAATCGATATTAACTGTAACTAATATGAATCATAACGAATAAGCATTTATTTGAATTTGAAATCTAAGACTTGTCTTTATAATTTTTCTAGTAAAACCTACATCTGTAAACCTAACGAATAAATTGAAGGTCTTTTCATCTGGCACTCAGTATAATTTAACTTGTGTGGTTGCGGGCTCAGTACCAGATACGGAGATACGCTGGACTCAAAATAATCGACCTTTTAAAAGAGGAGTGGTAAGTTAATAAACTGAAATAAGATAACAGTTACGTTACTGCTTTACTCAGGTTTACGGGTAAGAGCATTACTATGAACTGGTATTATACTTAATATTTAGTTACAACTCGGCGCCAGAAAATTAATTGTTTTGGCATACCAAGTAAAAAAATTAAACTAAAATATTACTCCTTTGCGGTTTTTTGTAGACTCACAAATATTAGTCACATACCCATTTATTTACTTAGCCACTTGCCGTTAATAGGAAATACTTTTTGGGTTTCAAATCATTAAGGCTCTGAAACTGACTATCTAAATTTTTTCATTTATAGTTAACGACAACACAAAGTAATGGCAAAGTCTTCTCAACCTTATCATTCCATCCACAACCCGAAGACGATGGCACAATGCTGAAGTGCGAAGGTTCCAATCCGCGCTTGCAAAACTCGGCAATCGAAGACTCACTTATGTTAAATGTTATGTGTAAGTATACCATCATTGTGTGGAGCAAAATCTTAAATTACTAAGCTTAGGCATGGTAAAATAAAAGTAGTAAAACACTTTTAGAATATCTAAGTAGATATATATATAAGAGTATAAAATTTATATTTATGTCTTCTGTGAATACTTACATCTTTGAAGTGACTATGTGAGAATTGTAATGCAGCTAGAAAGATGCGGTTTATTGCATTGAAAAGGGAGTAGGATCTATTTTAATAATCGATAAAAGTAAAACCCCACCTCGCTTTTAAATTTCCCCTGTCTTAAATCTCGTTTGTTATCGAGTTGCTCGGCAAGGTTCTTCAAAATACTGGTAGTGTAACTGATCATCATTTAAGCAGCTTCTTTTCCTGGTGCCGAAAGCGGCTTTAAAATCGAAAAATGTATAGTGTTGAGTCTCTTCTTACAGACTCTTTCTAAGCTTTGATGTATAGTGAATACCTGAAGTCATACTGATGATGCCTAATCAGGTTGTAAATGATACATAGCTTTAGAATTATACACAATAAGTACTAACATGCGACTTTTAAACGACTGGTCCCGCGATAATTGCCGCGTATGGCGTGGTCGCTTTTCTTACTTATCAGACAGAGCGCACTTAAATCCCAGTTGCCAAGCATGCGTTCACCTGATCATATTCTGCACAAGAGTTGATACGCAGTACTTGAAAATCTCAGCCAGCAGACTGTCTGTCAGCCTTAGCAGGTTTTCTGTTTTTCAGCCTTGATTTTTTATTCGTAAGCCGCCATATTCGTTCGCTGGTGCATCGATTGTTTCGTCATCGACTGGGCGCTTTGGTTGATCTTCTCCACTACTTTTAGTACTGTTGCCATTCAACAGAGTGGAAAAGTATTCCCTTCATAATTTAAGTATAGTATATTCTTGACATCCTACGTTCTTACAGAAATTGGTCCTGGGCTTGAAAATTAGACTACCATATTTCGGCCCCCGGCGAAGTCCATCATCTCTTTGTAGAAGCTGAATTTCCCGGCACCAAAGATCCTTGTCCGCCTTTAAATTTAAATCCAGAAGCAGAGTTTTGATATTAAGATGGGGTTCCGCGGGGTAGCGTTCGTAGGTGCGATCTAGGCCCTCATAGAAGAGGTCCTTGGACGCCTCGTCAACCAGCCTTTAGTTCTTTTTTTTTCGTTCGCCAAAGAAGGGGTCTCATCCGAGAAAATTTGGGACTATTCATTGGTGGCTCATTTTACGTGGCTGGTCCTAAACCCAGCGGACAAAATAATCCTGATGGTTTTGCCTTCTCTGCTTACCTCCAAATGGCTGCTAGGTTCCTATCCAGAAGATTTATGATTTACAAAAGTGCTCCACACATAAGTGGTCTTCTGCACTTGGAACTATTCTCCGCGGGTATACCGCATATTAATATTCATCTAGCTCTACAGATTGTTATTTCTGCCAGTATTTTTTTTATTCACGTAAATTTGAAAGTTCGTAAGTGTGTGTGTATGTGTGTTATACCTTCACGCTAAAAGGACTGGATGTAAGATTGAGAAATTTTTGACGTAACATTTATTAAAATAAACGATGGTTATTTAAGGCAGTTGCCATCTTTTTCATCATTTAAAATCAATTTATAAAGAAGTTAGCTTTATGTCGAAGAAGGTTGTTACCTGTTAAGAAATACAAAATTAAAGTAATTAATAAGATACGAAATATACTGAAGCTTTAAATCAGTTTAATTAATAAGTTAATTGCAACATTTTAAAATTTTCTTATTTTGAAGAGGGTTGTCTCTTTTTAATAAAATCACTCTCTATTAAATGAACAATTCAAATTAAATATTTTAATACGACTTAAAAAGTTCTATTTCGAAAGTATTTATAAAAAAGGTTACCATCTGCGTAGTAACTAAAAATCATTTCAACTGACAAGTTTATTGAATAGTTTATATGCATGTCAACTGTGAGTTTAAAGCTAGCTTTATTTATAAAATATTTTGGGAGACGGTTGCCCCCAGTTTCAAAGTTCTACTTCAATTTCAAATTATTTTGAAAGCATTTCCGAACAGAGCTGCCACAATTTCAAAATTTATGCAAATCAAACTTATCTGTTTACGTAAAATAAAATACAAAAATTTGACATTGATTTAAAACTTAAATTATAGAGTTGCATACTACCACTCCGTAGAAGCTGGCTTTGATTCCTGGATAAATTAAAAAATATGCAAAAAATTTCCCATCAATGAAAAGCGGCAAAAATATTTGCTTAATCTAATTCAAAAGATTCGTTTACAGAAGCGTCATGAAACTGAAAAATTAAATAGAAAATTCAAAATTAAAACCTGATTTGCTTTCAGCTCCAAAACGTTTTAGAAGCGTATGAACACTTTCACATAGCTACAGCATTTTCAAAACCACCCCTAGCAAAATTATAGGCGACAAAAATATTACTTTGATCTGAAATATTTTTGTGGGAGTTAAATAATTTTTTTTTGCGATAAAAAATATGCAAAACAAGATTATATTGGCAAGAAAAAAATTCATGTTTCTGAAAAGAGTACCAATTGCACCGTGCGGCTCGTGATTGCAAACAGCTCGTGAGACATGCTCATATGCACACTACCACATCCTCTAATTTCGTCCGCCTAACTGTATTAGCTATTTAATTGATATTCTATTTCATGTAAACCAAAAACCTTTAACCCATAATTTTATTATCAACTGCACTAGTTTTTTAGAATAACACAGATAAAATAAATACAACTTTAAAATTTTTTCCTGAAACTCTAATGTTCAAGTGGAAGCAACGAAAAATGCAGTTTTATTACCGTTAGGCATAATATCGCTCATATAAAGTAACAATATATATTAACTCCTGGTTGTATAAAATTTCTTTAAAACTAAAAATTAAATTTTAAATTTTTTATAAAATGTTTAAATGCCATCATATCAAAGTTTACTATTAAGTTATTTGGTAATTTCTCTACAACTAAATTAATTCGATCCATTTGAAAGAAACCAAAAAACTTTAACAATAAATCTAAATTATTATTTTTTCATTGGAAAATTGCAACATACATACCTTCATAAATATGTAAAAAAAAATTTACTTTACCTGCTGACATAATAATGCCGCCATAAATTTCACTTTTCGATTATCTAACCGCAAACATGTCAAAACTCTAACTCGCCGACAGCCGAAGGCTGCAGAATTCAACGAAATTTTTCGGCTCCAATGTCTGCAACAGCAAAATTGCAAAGAATACTAAACTGCCCTGAGTATATTTGGAAATTTATACGCACGTACATACATAGTTTGTATTTATGCATGGCGAAATTTTTCTTTTCCACTTTAAGCATGTGTTTGTGTTTTTATTTACATAACATTCATATACATACATACACATATGGTATTCAATAAAGTTGTCAGCGTTTATTTTATTGTTTTACATACACAACATATTGGTTGGTATATGTATGTACGTACACATGCAAGTGCATATAGATATTTTTTTTAACATAATCATAAATTTATTGAAATGCAGACTTAAATAGAAAATTTACGAGCATACCAGTAAAAGCGAATACAACACGCGAGAACCTACATAGCCTCCGGAGGGAGTATGAAGAGGATCGTGTACCTTGAATGGTTTTTCCTCATTTTCAGTTGTGTGTATGTATAAATGTATGTATGTACACATATTCATTTGTATGAAATTTGCCATGTATTTTTATATTCATGGAATGACGCTTGTGAGGTATGCAGAAAGTCACCTACATATGCATGTATGTGCGTTTGTATGCATATGAGCTGCTTGCTGCTCCCACGCTGCCGTATAGCGAACACTCACAAAGCATGCTGAAAGTTAAGTTATGAAAGTTTTATTTCCCTACAAATGGTTATAAATAATAAATTTTATGGTGTGACAAGAAAGGCAGACAAATAATAAATAAGCAGGCAATGCTAAAATGTAGACTTTCATATGAGTCAACAGAAGTTAAAGACAAATCTGAAACAGCGGTGACAGTCAAAATTCTTAGGGGATATGTATATGTATGGACCTACATACATATTGTAAAGTCATATAAAAAACGGCAAAAAAACTGTATGTGTGACGAAAAAATATTAAAAAATCATTATATAGTATGTATGTACCCGAATTCTTCCATAAGCCACCACTTGGGCAAATACACTTAGGTCTTTTTTTATGCGGTACATGCGTTCCTCAGAAAGTCGCATAAAAAATCCGCATAAAAAAGTTCTTTACTTTCATACAAAAGCAGAGGATGCGTTCCAGCATTTTCAAAAACCGCATAAATTCAGATACTCCATATAAAAAATTCTAAAAACCGCATACAAAAAATCCAATGAGGCAATATTAAGCAAAAAAATAATTTATTTCTTTACTTTAACATTTATTATTCCATGTAAAACTGAACTTAATGGAATAAATAAAATTTGGTCTGTATTTTAACCAAAGACAAAAAAATACCACAATAAATACATGAATTATGTAAGAATACAAAGACAAATTACTTATCAGAAGCACTGTCTCTTACACACTGAAAAAAGTAATAAAAACTCTCAAAAAGCAACAGCGAAAAAATGGTTTTGAAAAACCGCATAAATTCAAATCTGCATAAAAAAAGCCGTATAAAAAGATACCTAAGCGTACGATAGAGATATCTCACAAATCCACGAATAACAACATATAAAATTTGCGAAATTCTCATGAACATACATATATGTATTTGCATACATACATATAGGTATATATTTATATCACTCTATGTATGTCAATAATTCTGTAATTTCAGTTTTCCACAGTTTTTGGAAATGTATACTGCTTCAGCAACATTTCTCAACGGTTTTCACTTTACGATTCACAATTGAAGCTTTTGGATTTCTCTCAGGTGGAAGTGGAAAATTTCAAAAAGTTTCACCATTTTCTATGCTTATTTTGCATATTATTATGATGGTTATTTGTTTTATTGTTTTTTTTCCTAGAGAACGGAAACAAA